GTGAGTTTGGATAAGTTACATAACCCCTACGAGTCTCAGTTTCTCATCTGTTTGTTGTGAGGAATAAATGAAATAACGCATGTCAAATGCCTGACAGGTAGCCAGTAGTGAGAGCAGCAGTAGTTCCCGTCCATGCCCCTAGGGAGAGAAAGGGAATGGCCAGAATCTTGCTGGCAAATTAAGTAGTACTTTAAAGGGGAAACAAAGAAAAATGACTGCTTCTTGGATATTCTGCCTCCTGAGTAGCTGGGACTACAGGCATGCACCACCATGCCTGGCTAATTTTTTTCTATATATTTTTAGTTGTCCAGCTAATTTCTTTCTATTTTTTAGTAGAGACGGGGTCTCCCTCTTGCTCAGGGTGGTCTCAAACTCCTGACCTTGAGCGATCCTCCTGCCTCAGCCTCCCAGAGTGCTAGGATTACAGGCGTGAGCCACCATGCCTGGCCTAAATATTTTAAATTTTTATATGTAAGTGATACATATACTTCAGCAACTCATTTTTTTCTCCTTCAATAAAATCTGTTATGGTTTATTTATCTGGGTAGTTCTAGTTCATACATTTTAATTCATTTTTATATACATAAAGTATTCTATGTGATTAATCATCCCCATTTATTTATCTATTCTCCTGTTGATGGACACTTAGGTTGTTTTCAATGATAAGCAATGCTGCAATAAACATTTTTGTACATGTGGTTGTAGTTATTTGCTCTCTGAATGAATTCTCAGTTACTTAGATGAAGTGGCAAACCCAGGTCCAGCTTATCTGTGGGACTATGCACTTTGTGTTAGTCCTTGTACCCTTTTCAGTCCCATTTTCCTGATGCTTCACTATGAAATCTGGTCATCAACTGTCTCCAGTGGGAGAATATAACTGATGGGCTAAATTTGGCCTAGCAAAAATCTCTTCCCAGTCCCAAGAAGCATCCTTCAGGCTCTGATTGAGATTTTGATTGAGAATTCCTTGGCCTTGGGAGCAGAAGAAGTCTTCTTTAAAAATATCACAACCATAGTAACAAAACAACCTAATTAATCTTGTTAAGTTCCCAAGAAGCTCTGTTTGAGTTCCAATTAAATCTAATTATTTTATGCTAAGCTTTATGGTCAGCACTACAGATGACCAAATTTGTGGTGAACATTTTCAGCCCAAATCAGTTTTCTGGCTGTGTGCTAACCAGGGAAATTGTCATTTGCTGTAGTCTTCCAAGACATCTTAGGGCTCTGGTTCTTTCATGGCATTTCATGTTGCTAATATTTTACATTTTTCTTCTGTGGTTTTGGCGACTTCTAGGTCTCTGTGATTCATCATCTCTTCTGCCCTGCACTAGAGACAATAGATTCTGGCCAAGTGATGATGAATGGAGAGCCAGATAGCTAATCTGCGAATTTAGTCAGTGTCAGACCAGTGGTTATATTTTCAGTATTGTCCCTCTGTCCTGAGGGTGACTGTTGAGGTGTCTTGTCTTTCACTGTGGACTGGTATGCTCTTTGGCCTCCTTTTTTCAATTTAATTTTTGTTTTTCCTGGTTTAAACATTTTATTTTATTTTTCAGTTGATATCAAAATAACACGTGCCCCTGAGTGTGGTGGCATGGGCCTGTAGTCCCAGCTACTCAAACGACTGAAGTAAGAGGATCTTTTGAGCCCAGAAGTTTGAGGGCAGCCTGGGCAACATAGAGAGATCCCTCCCCAATCTCAAAAAACCAAAATAAAATAACACATACTCATTATAGAAAAGGTTTCAAGTACAGGAATATTAAAAAGAAAAACATCAATTTTAAGGTTATTTAGAGGCATTAATATTTTGGCATATTTCTTTCTCACCTTTTTCTGTGCATGTGTCTTATCATATTTGAGATCATACTGTACATATAGTTAGTTTGCTTATTGTTCTTAACATTATCTATCCATCCATCCATCCATCCAACATACCATTATCCAAAAAAGAACTAAGGTTCTTTTTTTTTTTTTAAGGTTTTTTAAATTTATTTTTTTTAAATTTTTTTTTATTTTGGCATATTATGGGGGTACAGATTAGAACTAAGGTTTTTATTTAGTATTATCCTTGTTTATTTCCCATATTATTAGGATCTCTATATAAGCCTCATTTACTGACTCAGAAAGTATGTGCATTTCACATTCTGATATATATATATATATATACACACACACATATATAGCCAAAATAGTCTCCAGAAATGTATCAATTGTAGCATCAAATAGCAATTTTCTAGAGCTTATAACCAATCCTTATCTTTTCCCACATCCTTATCTCTTTTATGCTCCATTTCTAATAACTTATTTATGTATTCATTTTTGGCACAGAGTCTCACTCTGTCACCTGGGCTAGAGTGCCATGGTGTCAGCCTAGCTCACAGAAACCTCAAACTCCTGGGCTCAAGTGATCCTCCTGTCTCAGCCTTCCGAGTAGCTGGGACTACAGGCAAATGCCACCACGCCTGGCTAATTTTTCTAGTTTTAGTAGAGATGGGGTCTCGCTCTTGCTCAGGATGGTCTCGAACTCCTGACATCAAGTGATCCTCCCGCCTCAGCCTCCCAGAGTGCTAGGATTACAGGCATGAGCCACTACGCTCACCTTTAATAATTTTTTAACTCTGATTTTATTGCAGACAAATCTGTTTTTTCACTGAGTCAATGATCTTGAACTCACTGGAGTTCCAAGATCCAACATCTAATTTATATAAAATTTAACTTCTCTTGACTCTCTGGAATGTCCTTCTTCTAGGACTGAGCTAATAGACTATAGATTATTTTCACTTCTGGGAGACAGAGCAGTGGGTGATATGAGCTTCTCCCTGAGGTTCAAATAACCGATATAATTCTAAGGACATCTGGTGGGGGATTTCAAAGAGTGGGGAGAAGAGCTTTGGAGTAAGGCTTCTAGGTTTCCAATGCTCTCAGATCACCGTCAGGCACTGCACATGAATCTCCATAGAAACTGAAAGTCACACGTGGCCCAATTGTTTCTGGGTGCCCATAAGAGTTCTCCCTCCTCCTTCCCCTGCCCTAAGGGCTTCATGCATAACCAAGTAGCTTTGGAGTGAAATAGGTCAAGGCCTCTTTTCTAGCTTCTGGTTGTGTACTTCCTCCCTGAAAATCCTAGCTCTCCCTTATTTTCAGGGTTTTAGCAATCAGATCTCAGCAATGAGATCACTGGGGGGAAAGCTGCAGGTAGCTGATGACTCTTTGGAGAACACCCAAACTTTGGTTTTTAAAGGCCATATCTTCCCCTTATACCTAAGTCACTTCCTGATATGGGTCTAGTCCACTGAAAGGAAACTATAGGAAATTCGCTCGAATGGAAATAACAAATCATAGTGATAATTGAAAATTGCACCAGTACCTTAAAAGTGGATGGAAAGTTATGCCAGTTCTCACCGAAAGAAGTTTACAAAAGATTCTAAACAAAAACATCAATAGTCATAATCAATGGGAATTTAAACTTTCACCCAAGCAAGGAGTTTAAATAGTCTGAATATAAAAGGAATCAGAATAGAGTAGATAGGGTAAGCCTTAAAGGACACTGTTTAGTGTAATGCTTTAGATTTCCATCAGTATTTGCATTTTGTGGCTTATTTGGAGAGTGACATTGTTTTATCAAATAACTGAGGCTCCAGAGAGGCTATAGCACTCTTGCTTCAGGGACTTGCCATGCAAAATGAGGGAAGGAGCAAAACTAATACACAACTAACAGCTAAGAGGACGCCCCCTGAGCTGTGTTGACCCCCCAGCCTCTGAGCTTTGCTGCTGCCCTGGGATTTCATTTGGAGTGCTGGCAATGCATCCAAGGATGTCTTGATCAGGGTCACCAATCCCTTTTATTCTAAATGCTACACCATTTGCTCTAGATAGGCCTTCTGGGGGACATTGGCAGGGCTGAGACAAAAATAATAATAATAACAGCAATGGCTGAGATATAGCACTTACTATTGCCAGGCATGTTTTAACAGCTTTACATTTATTTACACATTTCCTGCTCACATATACCTTATGGGGAAGGTACTGGGCAAGTAGGGAGGAGGACAGGGAAAGGGAAGAGAGCAGGGGAAGAGAAGAAAGGGGCAAGAAAAATGCAATGCAATTCAGCAATTATTTATTCAGTGCTCACTCAGTGTCGGGGGACATGGTAATGAACAAAACAGAGGACAGTATAAAGAAGAGGGGATACAGGTAGAGAAAGGAGGAGGAAGGGGAGACGAAGGAGGAGAGGAGAGGAAAGGAGAGGAGACATAATGAAGACGAGAGAGAAGCAAGGTGTGCACATGGAAGGCAATGGTAAGAGGAGAAACCTGTGCCACGACCTCAGGGGTTGGCTACACTGCCTGGGCTGAGGCAGAGGCTGCTTTCTCTCGGCCCCGGCTCTTACCCACTATTACCACGAGGTTGGCACAGCCTCGGCACAGTCCTTCTGACAAGCCAGCTCTGCCCCTGGCAACATTTGGCCTGATGCAGCCCACGTAGGTAGCCTACACCCTGGTTTAGCCAGCGCCTTCTCCCAGCTCACACGAGTCAACTGCCGAATGTGGCACGTGAGCTTTTACCGTGTTCTCAGATAATCTCCTTCTTAGAATTTCTTCTTCTAAGGGCCTCATTGACATAAGTGTCCATTTTGAGTCTTCAAGCCATATTTGAGCAAAGGGCTTGTTTTTATCCTACTGCCACCTGCAATGTTACTGTTCCACCAAATTTTGCAGGGCTGCCCCTTTCTAACATTTGCTACCTTTTCAGATGGTCACCCCATGTCACTTTTGTCTCTTCCTGATCCCCCCACGGCCCTCATCAGAACGGACCCCTGCAGCCCTTCTGATCACCAGGAGAGACTGCCAGGGCCTTGTGCCGATGACACTCCCACCCTCAGTCAGCCTCCTCCGCCAGCAGCTACATGGCACCAGCCATGCTTTCTCTCTGGCCTTTAGGGGGTCCCAAGAAAGGTATATTGCTGCTGCTGCCCAGCCCCTGCCATCCCCCAGACCCACCTCAGTCCTGACTTAATGCAGGTAGCTTCCCAGGTGCATTGAGATGCCAGGACTTGGAAGGTGGGACTCGATCTCAGCAGACACTGGCCCTGGAGACATATTCTTACAGTCCAGAGAGGAAGGACAGTCTAAGCAAACCCCACCCTTTCACAGCCACTCAGTTCCCTTTTTTTGTTTCCTGACTTAAACCAAGGTCTTTTTTTTCTTCTTCTTCTCAGCAGCATGCTATCTGGTTCCCTGCTGCTCTCCCTAACCCCCCACCCCCAACTGTCCCCGCCCTTCATTTGCTTGGGACCTCTGACACTACTATCTTGAGTCCAGCTCTGAAAGAACCTTTCTCAACACTACTGGAGCCACTGAGACTCTAGCTGGGGCTGGGTTGAGCAGACAGGTCACCAGGCATCCCTTCCAAATGTAAAGGAATGACATACCTAAAGGTCTGTGGAGATGTTCAGCACAGGGAGAGGGGCTTGCATGGAAGAGGAGAGATGCTGGAGCTGGCAGAGACAGGAAGGACAAAGAGACTGGCCAGGAAGAGTGTCTTTAGTGTCTCCTGTCCTCTGAGGCAGAGGAGACTCAGGATCACACGGTTAAACTTGATAATGAAGGATGGGGAGTCTTCCTCACAGGGACCCCAAAGGCCAGAGCCTGACAAAGGTAGAGACAAGACTTCCCCCTGCTGAGTCATTTTCTAAGAAAGCACTCTTTTTCCTACAGATAAAAACGTCAGAATGTAAGCCCACGCAAAGACTCCATACCCTTCCCCATTTTCTGTGTAATCCCAGCTACTCTGGTGGCTGAGGTGGGAGGATCCCTCGAGCTCAGAAGTTCAAGATCAGCCTGGGCAACATAGCGAGACCCCTGCAGACCCCCATCTTTTGAAAAAGGCAATGAAAAGATTCAGCCTCAGGGATTAACTTTCATTTTACACATTTCTCTTTAACCCTGTAAATCGGTAAACCAGACTAAGTGTGTCTCTTGAAACCTAGATGTTTCCTCAGGGGTCCCCCTTAGCTTATGTTGCAGCTACAATCTTCTTCCCAAGGATTCTCCTAGGAAATGCAGCCAGTACTGGCTGCAGACTGTGATGGTGACTGATCTGCTTGCTCACCTTGACACACGAGGCACTGCCATCTTTCCTTGTCCCAAGGCGCTGTATCCTAATGTAGAAACAGAGCCCAGATCCCACTACAAGTCTGTTAGAATTTTTAAGGCAATAGGACTTTTTACAAATTTTAAAAAGAATTTGTAGGATGGCAGAGTCGTTGATCTTCACATTTGCACAAGGTAGATGGGCTGCAAGCATTGTATGATCTCCTTTCCTTTTTATTTTTTCTAGAAGGAAAGATGATGATGATCTCCTTTCTTTATTGACAACTTCCATCTTTTCACTAGTCACCCCCAAAAGCTGTTCAGTTGCCTGCCTGACAGTTGGCCATAGGCATTCACCTTCCCTCCCCCTTTTTTCAGTCAGATACTGCTCTTTGTCAAATGCCCTGTTTTCTCTCAAGGTCCATCTTGGAGTGGGGACTGGGAGTTGATAGGCATATACCAGGAGATCTGGATAAAATAGAGGAGGACAAGGAAAAGGGGCAAGCAAACCTAGGTTCTTCTTCACCCCCTGCCCACGACCACTCCCCTGGCACCGTTGTCCATACTGACAAGCACTGCACCCAGACTGGGAATGAATGGCTGAATGTCACCTCAATACATTCCCCATGTAATAAGGCTCTATTCTTGGTGCCATCCTGTTCAACATTTTTATTAATGGCCTTTGAGGAAGATATAGAAAGTAGCCTAGCTAATCTTTGAATGGAGCAAGGCTGTGTGCTAGATTGGACTACAGAATAGAACATTTTTTTATTTTTTTTATTTTGAGACAGAGTCTCACTCTGTTGCCCAGGCTAGGAGTGGCCGTCGGGCATCAGCCTAGCTCACAGCAACTCAAACTCCTGGGTCAAGGATCCTTCTGCTCAGCCTGTAGTGGGAACTAAGGTATGTGCCACGTGCCGGCTAATTTTCTATATATTTTTATTGCCAATTATTTCTTTCTATTTTTAGTACAGAGGGGGGTCCGGCTTTTGCTCGGGCTGGTTTCGAACTCCTGACCTCGAGCAATCCGCCCGCCTTGGCCTCCCAGAATGCTAGGATTACAGGCGTGAGCCACTGCCTAAAATCTTTTAGAAACTACCCAAAGGGAGTTTGGGAGATTCTTAGAATCTGGGGGAAAAAAGAAATGCGTGTGATACTACAGCCTGGCAGTTTGGCAAAGAAATTTTAGGAAATATAGCAGGTAGTGGTAATATTTTATTATCTCATTCCCAGAGACAAACACACAACAAAATAAAGGTGAGATCAGGAGTCAGTGGACTCACAGGTTTTGGAGGCATGCAAGTAGGTATCCCAGGTCTCATGGTTACTAATCACAGGTCCTATGCCTTCTTCTTTTTTTTTTTTTTTTTGAGACAGGAGTCTCGCTTTGTTGCCAGGCTAGAGTGAGTCCGTGGCGTCACCTAGCTCACAGCGACCTAAACTCCTGGGCTCGAGTGATCTTCTGCTCAGCTCCGGTGCTGGGACTACAGGCTGCCCATCTGCCGGCTATTTTTATTATATACAGTGGCCAATTATTTATTTCTTTTTGTAGAGACGGGTCCCGCTCTTGCTCAGGCTGTTTTGAACTCCTGACCTGAGCAATCGCCCGCCTCGGCCTCCCAAGAGCTAGATTAGGGCTGGCACCGCGCCCCAATTCTCTTTCTCACCATCCTATGGCCTGCAGATGCCCCTGCTTCCCCTGTGTGATGAAGTGGTTAAGTGCAAGGCTGTGGTGTTAAACTACCTAGGATCAAATTCCAACTCCACAAAATAACCGCCTGTGTGACTTTGGAGTAAGTGAATTTAAGGATTCTTGTGTTCAGTTCTTTGTCTGTTAAATACTACTAATAGTACATACCTCCTGGGGTTGTTGTCAGGATTAAAAGAGGTCGTATGTAAGGTGATTAGAAGAATGCCTGGCATATAAATAAGTGCTCTATAATTCTTAGCTATTATCATAGCAGGCCACAATAGCAGTATTTTATAATGGTAAAGGAACCAGGCTATGGTGTCAGACTACCTGGGTTGTGTTATCTAGATCCACTAAATACTGTGACATCGGACAAATAATTTAACATCCCATGGCCTCAAATCCTCATCTGTAAAATGGGAATAATAGTATTACCTACCTCCTAGCATTACTGTGAGAACTGCATGAGACAACCTATTTAAACGCTTAGCACTCTGCAGTCTTTCTCTGCCAGACTCCCTTGAAACCTAGTACATGCCTTATGCCAGGTATGCAGAGAAGGGAAGAGCTGAGTACTTTTCATCTCTTGGCCTGATTATTGCTATTGCAGGAGCTGAACAATTTCATTGGCACTTTTCAGAACTAGAGTAGCCAGCTTACTCTCTTAACAAAATAATTGGTTTAATGTTGGTCATTCAAAGTACTTAGTCCTGGCTCATGCCTATAATCCTAGCACTCTGGGAGGCTGAGTATGGAGGATGGCTCAAGGTCATGAGTTCGAGACCAGCCTGGAGCAAGAGCGAGACCCCATCTCTACTAAAAATAGAGAATAAACGAATTGGCCGACGAAAATATATATAGAAAAAATTAGGTGGGCATGGTGGCGCATGCCTGTAGTCCCAGCGTACTCGGGAGGCTGAGGCAGGAGGATTGCTTGAGCCAGGAGTTTGAGGTTGCTGTGAACTAGGCTGACGCCACAGCACTCTAGCCGGGCAACAGAGTGAGACTCTGTCTCAAAAAAAAAAAAAAAAAAAGACTTAGTCCTTAATTGTATACATTATGAGCATATTAGATTATTGTGTCTCTCCTCTAGCACAATGCCTGGCGCATAATGGGCAATCAGTGAACATTTATTTCTTGAATAGACCAACCCGCATTATGATAGACGAACTGGAGCAACTTGTCCCTCCAAGCCCTCCTTGAACCAGCAGTTCCCTGCTAAATGTTTCTCAGGATTCCTGAGGTTGAACAGGAATGGAACGTGAAGGTGGAGAACCTCTCCACTCGAACCCTAGTCCCGGCTTCTCCTGAGACAGGAAGACCAAGGGGTTGGGTCTGCTCCCTTAACTATATGCTATTACGTAGCAGCATCCGCTAAAAAGTGATGAAATAATGAAAAACTGTAAAGCTGAGGGGCGGGAGAAGTGGAGGTGAGGGGATCAGCCTAATTTAAGCAGAGCCCTCCTTAAGCTCCCGCCCGCGGCTCCGAATCCAGTCCTCTCCGCCGCTGGACGGCGCTACGCACTGAGCCTTAGACTCTATGATCGCTCCCACCGACTCCCATGAGGAAGTGCGACAAGGCACCGCCTATATACTTCCGTTTCCGGCCTGGCCCTTTCTTTCGTTGCCGATAGCGCGCACGCAAACATGGTAGATCTTGGTTTCGGGGGGCTAGTAACATCCAGCCTAATCTTCCCCCCTTGTGTCGACGGTGCTGTTCCGGGATAGGTCTAGGCCTTGCGTGGACTAGATGTATGAAAGCAACCCAATGTTGGTGGCTCGACCCCGAAGGGACCGTCTCCAGGGTCAGGAGTTGAAGTGATGGATCAGAGAGGAGAAGCTCTTCCCTCTTCGGGGCTTGACGGAGGGCCATCTTCTTGAAACACGTGGGCTGGACCACCTTCTAGTCAGAGCTGCAAGAGCGCAGCGTGTTTAGCGAGGAGTTAGAGTCGGGTCTTCGTGGAATGTCTCAGCTTCGGCGGGGGTGGGTAGAGAGTTGTGCTATTGTGATAACACTGCATGATCTGAACGGTTCATTTACTAGGTGAACGTTCCTAAAACCCGTCGGACTTTCTGTAAGAAATGTGGCAAGCACCAACCCCACAAGTGACACAGTACAAGAAGGGCAAGGATTCTCTGTATGCCAGGGTAAGATGGCTTCTGCATAATTTGGTTTTAATGTGGCATTTACGTAGTAGTTATAATTCAAGACCAGGTTTGGTTTTTTTTTTTTCCCTCCTCCTCGGCATGGCGTTAATATTTGTGCTGGGAAGCCTAAGATAAAACTGGTAAAAAGATTTCCATGTGGTTCTTGTGATTTGTGATCTTCAGTATACTTAACAAGTAACACTTTGTTTTCCAGGAAAGCGGCGTTATGATAG